GTCGCACGAAATTTCTTTCAAACAGGGTCACACAGATAACGAATCCCACCAGCCCTCTGGGCGTAAAACGTTTAAACATGTTGTGCCGTCCCTTTTCCAAAGAGAACACCTCTCCCTACACTCTCCCCTTGACATCCTGCAAAGACCCTGCAAACACCCTGCAATACTATGCAACTCCTTGGTGCGCCATGCAAGTTTTCGTCATAGCCTGTAGCGGAACCCCTCCAAGACCCACCCAAAGAGCCCCAAGAGGACCTTCGTTCCCTGGACACGGTTTTCAACAAGTTCGTTGCTGTTGTCATGGCGGCAAGGTAAAATGTCAAACGAAATGCTATGCAATTACAATAAAGCATGGCGTGACGCGGTATGCGACGCTGCGACGAATAAAAAAATGAACGAAATAGCGTGCACAATGACATGTGATCCGCCACCGTGCCGTGGGGTACTGAGCGAAGCGGGAACTTATAGGGGGTCCCGCGTAGCTTGTCCCCAGACCCCGAAGGCACTGGTATCAGAGGACCGCCTTTTTTTTCTCGCTTACGCAAAGGACCACGATCGCAGCGCTCGCCAGAGCACGGCGCGAGCCCGAGCGCCAGCCTATGCTGGACTTTGGAACTTTGCCGACACCTTTGGTCGTCAAATGGGAAACCTGCCAGCACTTGGGACAATTGCCGACACCTTGGAAGCTGCTGACAGTTCGCACTGAGAGACGCTCCCCCCCAGAATCCCCTCTCCTCCCTGCGCTGCCCGCAACCCACCTCGTAATAATCTGGCCGACGGCCCGCCTCAAAGCGCCCCCGCATGCAGAGGAAAGTGCGCGACGCGTCGTCGCCACGTTTCAGTGGCGAGGCACTGGCGCGGGTGGAACATGTTGAGGCAACAGACGCTACAAGAGCTTCCCGCGAAGCGGCAGACGGCGGGCGCGAACCCTTCGCCGCGCTTGGGGCAAACGTTATAAAAACTTCCCTGGCAAATGGCCCAATCAAATGCAACCGTGAGTACATCGCGAGGACTGTCTCTCCAAAACGAGAACCCAACACCACAAGATGGTTGGAAATAAACAAATTAGAAAATACAACAATGGAGACACATTGGCGCCGTGCGCGAGCATCTTTTGCAGTCAGCAAGTTGACCGTAGTGATTCGCTGGCGACCCTGGGGGGCTGCCGCTGCCATCCTCCCCACCCCTCCCGCGAGGGGCTGGAAACTCTGGCTGCTGCGAAAAGACGTCATCCGTGACTGACAGCAAGTGCCTGCACGAGCATCCGAGACCCCAGGGAAAGGAAAGAAGCGCTCAGCGCCTGCCAGGCACGGGCGCGGGACCGTGAAACTGACGTAGCATGCCTCTCGGGCGAGTGGCTCTGGCTGAGCTCGCCAGCGATAATGTAGTTAAAAAATTGAGGGCGCCAGAGGCGCCTGCGAGGGATCCCAGCGCGGATCCAAAGTTTCTGTTCATGGCGATGTTTCTTCTTCGATGCAAGGGCCTTGGAGTGCCACGTGAACGTGCTTCGAGCGAGAGTGGCCACCGAAAGCGGCCAGGGATGGGCCCACGGGGCAATGACCCCAGGGCAACATTGAGAAAGTCGCTCATCCTCATTATGCGGGTTTTCGAGAACCGACAACGGACAATTCACTAATCGACGTGTCAGGGTGGGGGTTCTGTCCACCCCCAATATTCTTCATGCTCACCTAGCGGCTCCCAGCCGGGTAGTACGACCGACCACGCGACCTCAGAGCGGCCCCGAGTGCTGCCGAGGGCGACCGTGGCGGCGGGGCTGGCGGCGCGGACTGCCAGCGCGCCCCACGGCGCAGCTCCCTGGAGACAGCGCCCGCCCAGCTGCTGGGGCTGTCAGCGGCACCTTCGTTTCCAGCGCCTCCTGCCGGAGCCTTCGGAGCCGGCCCCAAACCGAGGCGGTCCTCCTCGTGGCGCGGGCGGCGGTGCCTCACGCCAAGCTCCCAGGGCGAGCTCACTGTCTGCCGGGCAGCGGCGGCCTTCTGCTCCCAGTACGCCACGGACCGAAGGCGCCTGGGGGCACCCCTCGGTGGCGCTGCGGCTCGCGCAAGAGCCTCCTTCGGCGCCAGCATCGCAGACCGCCTCCCAGGGTGCCCGTCTCCGAGTGCCGCCGTCTCGCGGAGCACCGCCTCGCGGAGCGCGGGCTCCTCGCCGTCCTTCGGCGAGGCGGTGGCGCCCAAAATCTCCTCGAACGCGTCGGCATCCTGGTCGTCGCCAAAGGCGCACAGCTCTGCCGTGGGGCATCGCGTGGGGGCCGAGCTGAGCCCGCCCGACTCGGGGCACACCGCCTTGCACTTCCCTTGCTCGGCGAGAGCCGCCTCACCATCTCGAAACATCGCGCACGGGCTGAACATGATGGTGGGGTGCTGGACAGCTGGCAGCCACACAGTGTCGACGTGGAGACCTCCCTTACGCAAAAGGTGGTTCCAGCGAAACTGCTTGAGCCAAAATGGCCACGGATGGTATCAGAGGGCCGCCTTGGGGCTATGTTATACGCATTGGTCTGTAATGCGTGTATGCATATTTGCGTGTTAGTGTATTGTAATATGTTTGTAGAGCATGCTGGTAGACATGGTACACACCGCGCTGGTATATGCGCAGTGCAGTAGGGAGATCTAATGTGTAGCTGTGGCTAACCACATCACTCGGATTCAATGGCGTGCTACAAAATGCGGACGTGTCCTTGCCCTTATTCATGCACTCGTGTACCCACAAATTATCAAACACACGTCTACGCAATCGCCTTTTGATGTATTCGTTATCCAGGTCCCTGCGTCAAACCCACCACCATGCTTGCGAAGCACTCCGTGTGATGGCCCTTGAGCATCGCCCAGACAGCCGTCACATGTGAGACCACTCGCGTCCACCTCTCGTGGGGCTCCTTTTTGGGCCGCCCTGGGACCGCCTCGGGCTCCCGCGGGGCAGTCCTGTGGCTCCCTCTGGCCCCTCTTCGCTCGTCCTCGGCGACCCCTCGGGCCGTCTCCCGGGGCCCTCGATGGGGGGGAGGGAGGGAGGGAGGGAGGGGGGGAGGGGGCAAGCTAGGCGCGCTCGCGTCATATCTGACGTCCTACCCCGACCACACAAAAAGAGCCCCGAAAGGACCCCAATATTACGACCGAAGGCCCAGCAGAGACACCAAGAGAACCCCTGAGATGGCCTCCGTTCTTTCCCTCCATTCCTGCCTCGCGCCTCCTCCTCCTCCTCCTCCGCATCTTCTTCGTGCCGCAATCCTCCTCTTTGTGTTTCCTTTCCCCCTCCGTTTCTCGTTTCTCCCCCCTCCTCCCCCTCATCCTCCTCCTCCTCCTCCTTCTCCTCCTCCCCCTCCTCTTCCCTCGCTTGCACTCCTCGCCGAACCCTCGGGCCTTCGCTTTCCCAAACAGCTCGCACCACGCACGCCCAAACATTCGAGAGCTGGCCTTTTCCCTCCATCCCACCCCAGAGCTGGTGGCTGGCGTGGGTTTGCCGGATGACTCGAAGCAGCCCCGCGCACGGGGTTAAAGCCAGGGCCGTGTGCGTTCGCCCCCGAAAACAAACAAACACGACAGGGCAAACCTTCCACACAGTGCCTGACCATATCGCCGCCGGGGTCTGGCACTATGCGAACGTCCGAAGGTTTACTGCGGCCCATGGCTCTAATTGGTTCTACATATGCGAGGCGACTTCTAGAGAGATAGCCGAGCACATGCCCGACGCACAAGGCAAGAGAGGTGAGACGCTCGGCATGCTGGATCTCTAGCTTCCCGAGGAACTCGCCGCGCGGCGCATTAGCTGCCGTCTCGCGCGCGAAGAAGGCGCAGGCCTGGTTGTCGCGCCAGGCCAACCAGCCTAAAACGGCCGCCCCCCCCCGAGACTTGTGGGCGGGCACCTGGAAGAGGGCCCTCTGTCCCTTTCCCGCGACCCTGGGACCCGCCCAGAACATCCCCCAAAATTATCCGAAAGGGTTGTCTGACACATTCTGGCGAAGACCTCGGGCCCAGACATCGACCAACGATTGGCAGTCCATCCCGAGGTGGATTCCCCCGTGGCCCGATCCTCAAAACCATTAGGAACGCATGCAAGTCGGGACCATATACACCTTGGAGCCGACGGGGCAGAGGACCAAGAGTGCCAGCTAACACGCCGCCTCCGTCGCTCGCCATGGCAAGGCCCAACCCGCTCTACTGTGGCGCCGAGACTTTGGTGCTAAAACCAAACCGCCTGAACACATCTCAGCATCGGCGCAACCTTCGTGGGGCGGGATGACCCGCTTCCACCCGTCCGAAGTCTCGGGGGCAGGGGAAAGCCTCGAAGGAGCGGGGAGGAGACGTCGAGCGAGGAAGGGGTCACCTCCCCCCCCTGCCCCCGCTCTTGCAGGTCTCTCCAAAAGTCAAGATCACGCACGTGCAGATTGGCCCCATGGCAACCAACAAGTTCATGGCTTCCATATCCCCCGGGAAAACCACGCAGCTGGCAAGCCCCCGTCAGAACACGTTGACCCTGAAACAGCTCGCCCTGGGTAACCATCCCTCCTGAAACGTGAGTGGCTAGAAATGAGGCTTCCAAGATTGGTCCACGACCTCGAAACTCCTCGCACACCTGGGCCACAGCGTCCTGCTGGGGCGCGTAGAAGATCTGGTCGCCGAACTCCCAGGTCAAACTCTGGGCAAGCTGTTCCTCAGTGGCTACCGAAGGCTGACCGTCCTTACTCCAGATTTCGCAATAAAAGGGAGGGGGTCTCATTTCGGGGGGGGTCTCTTCCAGGCTATCTTGGAGGGCCTCAGGGGGTCTGGGGACGATGTGTTGGAGGGTTCCCCCACGGGGTGGGTCTAAAACTTCTCGTCTGGGAGGGTTGAGACCCCCTCCCTGCATTGCGAAATCTGGAGTAGTTTGTCCAATTCAGCGGGCATCTCAGCGGGCATCCTCCACGAGGTTGAGCTTACTGGGGCCCAACCAAGACGCTGCAGAGTACCTAATAGAGCTCCAATGGGACCTCGCACAGCAGCCCGAGAGAAATCCGTTTCTCCATATCACGCTGGAAGACGTCAGACATCTGTTTTGGAGTGGCCCATCCGCCCCAATAAGCCTCGCCCCGGAAAATGATGGGCTGACTGTTAGCAACGCGCGCGGGGTCAGCCCTCGGATTGCAAGACAACATTATTAAACAGTTCTAGAGCGCCCGCAAGCCAGCCCAAAAATGCCTTCCGCCACCGCGCAACGTAATGCCTGGAGCCGTCGGGCCGCCATGCCTGTCGCGCTGCACCTATGCCGCATCTTCCAGCAGGGGGCGCGCCAGCGCGAGAGATCGATGAAATTCTGAAACTGCGACTCGGACTTCTGAACCGACATGCCCGGCTCCGAATCTTGGCGATCCTGGATATGCTGTTCTCTGGCTGATCGAGCTCCTCCGACCGTAAAATCGACTCCCTGATTTTTGACAGCGCGAGATGACCAGAAGCCCCGCTGCTTAAGGCCGGCGCAAAGTCCTTTGGCGAGGGCCGCGGCGCAGGCAACCGCCTGGCCCTGCGCGCGCGAGATATCGAGCTGGGCTGACTCCCGCTTCCTGCAGAGAGCCTGGGCGGCCTTGACGGCCGTCGACGCGCAGCGACGACCTGGATCGCCATATCGCCGACGACCTTGTACAGACGACTCAACCTGAAAACCCTAGAGACCGTGTCCAGTTCTGTGATATGCATCACTCTTAGTAATGTAGTTGCATACCCACAGCTTGCCAAAATCATCGAATACACCACTGCGGGCCTCGAAATGCACAAACCTAGTACCAACAGTATGGGGCAGCAGTAGATTACCAGGCAAAGGCGCAAGTGAAATAATGGAAACTCGAACGCGCATGCTCTGGAGACCAACTGCCTGCCACGCACTTTCTCGCAAGCCTTTGTCCGCGCGTGTAGCTTCGCTGGTGATCGTTTGCCCATGCTGCTGCGGCGCATCTAGCGCATCGGCTCCATATCCTAACGGTCATGTGGAGTAAGGCTGCAAGTCGATGTCCGTCGTCGCCAGGTTTAGGTTAGGCCTGGTGAAGCGTTGCACCCATTTGGAGAGGTAGAAGACCACCCTGCAACAGCCAACCCCGTATCACATTCAAAGCTTCCAGGCATTCATCGGAAAGAAAAAGAATATCTCGATGACCTCATCATCTATCAGGTCCGCGAGCAGACCAGGCGCTCATCTTCCGCGCGACGCCTCGGGCCTCGTCTGGTGAAAGATGGCGGACAGGGCGCTGCTGGCTCTGCAGCAACCCGCGAAGCTCTTCAAACATGTGGCGGGGACCTTGCAGAGGCTTCGGGTCGACATGTTCAGAACCCAAAATTGACTCCCAGTGCTGAAGATGCGGCTCAATAAATCTACTGGCCCAGGAGGGGGCTGACCTTTGCGAGGGGGCCATGGGGCGCCAACCGAGGAGATGCCAGGCGCATCGATGAGCTGTCTCCGCCTGCCTGCGCTGCCTGTCGGACAAAGCCCTCCACTGTCGGGCGCAACTGCTAACAAACCTGGCTTTTAGCTTCTCGGCGCGGCCGTCAGCCGTCTCATGCAAGTCCACGAGGGCCTCTGAATCGCGCCAAGAATGATATCCCAAAGAAGACGCAGCATGCCTTCCCACTCTTCGCCAGACCTGATGAAGGGAGCGGCGAGCAAGGTCTCGGCGAACAAGGCTGCAGCTCCGACAGTGCCCGTAACAGACTCCTGGGAACGCAGACGGGCAAGCTCCGCCTCCTCCAATCCATGCTCGCAGGACAGGCGACAGGGCAGGGGCCTGCGGCAGGGGGAAAGGCGGGGGCCGCTCTCACTTCCCACCCGCGCCCTCGGCCTGCGCCCCGAGATCGTTCAGCGCCAGGAATGCAGCGGTCAGCGCGGAACCTGTGCTCCAACGAGCCCAGGAATTGTCCGATTGAGAAGTCGAGGTCCTGCTGGGTGCCCATTTTTGCTCGAGTGCATTGAGAACCTGAGGCCATTCTCGAGGAGGTCCTGGAACGGGTCCTATTGGGCGCCCCCGGGGGAACTTCCTGGGGGCCTCGGGGGCATCATCCGCAGTGTCGGTTTGCTTCTCATGACGAGCCGAGCGAGACGACGAGGTTTGAGATGAGATCCGGGCGACACTTGGCACGACGCGACCGAAGGTGCAAGGGCCTCTGAGATCAAGAAAAATCGAACGTCCTCAATTCCCGCCGACCGCGCGTGCAAGTAGGCGCTGAAAGGGGCAGCGACCCTAGCTCCGAGCCTGCTCGGCCAGCCAAGACGCCCCAAGAGAGTCAGTGGAACGTTCCAGTCACCACCGATCAAAAACGGCAAGCCTGCACAGCGAAGACGCTTTCCTGGGCGACTTAATAGCATAATCCTTTATGGGCCGAAATGGTCGGACGGCGCATATATGTGTATATATATATATATATATATATATATATTCGAGAGAGCGTGATCCACCGCCGCTTTACTGTGGAAAATTGCCAACCTTTTCCTCCGGAACCCGGGGGTCTCCCCCCCCCCCCCCTC